GGTTTAAAAATTATCTGGAAATGCAAATAAATGTAGACTAATATAGCATTTATACAGAACACAACAAACTGCTCCTGACAGAGTTCACTTTGGTGTACAAGCCAGCATGGAAAGGAAATGATTAAAATCAAAATCTATTAGCTTCTGCCACTCTAATCAGCACCTCCTAAAAATGAACACAAATACTCTGAGTTTTGGTGTCCTAGAGTCTTTGCCAGGTATAGCCAAGTTTCCTAAAGAAAGAAAATTCCCCTGTTTAGATGAACATGTCTACCAAAATAACTGTTTGGTATTAGTCTGTATTTATTCATCATGGCAAGTTAGGAGTATTTCATCTACCTAAAAAAGAGGCAGGATATTAAAAAAAAAGTTATAGATGTTAATGCTTGGAGATAGACATACAAGTTTTCTTCCTCAGGTAGCAACAATCATTGTTAAGGCATAAAAATGCACTATTAACCAGTGCTCAATCACAGGGCACAAAAAAGAAAAAGATCAAATAAACAGTGTTCAATAACATATTTACACTACATGTGGTAAAGTGCAGCAGCAGAATTAGTATTATTGATGAAAGTGAAGCTGTGTCACTAAATCCAACAGGACAAAGCCAGTTGAAGCAGTTACTAGTTCAACTATTGATCATGAGAATTAGACACACATACACACAAAAAAGACCCTGTCCTTCAATAGACTCTGTGAAGACAGACCTCTCTGCATCCTTTGACATCAGCTGAGCTTTAATGACATGATTAGAATCAAACAACAGGATAATGAAATAAAAGATAACTCTAAATCTGCTTAAAACTAAAAAAAAAAAAAAAAAAAGGCCTCTAAATACCTTGACGCTAGGTACAAACGATATATATCAAAAAGGCAAAAGCTAAAAGCCAAACCAATTTCTATACAAACAGTACAGGGGAGAAGAAATTTAAAAGAAAGTTCAGAAGAAAAAAAAGCAGAGAATTATATAAAGGGGCATACATTTTAAAAAGATTAATATAAAGGTTGCTAAAGGTTAGAGAGAGAAATTGGAACATGCACAAAAGATGGCAAAAATAAGATGCCAGTAAAAGAAAAAAGATCTCTAGGAGAATGACAACACATGCAGTCAAATATAGCAGCCACATCAAAAGAAGTTTGTACCAATTAAAGCCTCAAAGAAAGAGAAAAATCAGAAGTTAGATAGGTTACCCTACCATCTTAGAAAGCATCCAAAGAAATTACAGACCCCAGGACTGATCTTTAACAGAACAATACAGAAAGGATTAAACTAAGTAGAAGAGCAAACAGTTTTTCTTCCCTCCTCCTCTTCTTTTTGGAGATGTGTATGGAAGAACATTAACGGAAGGCGAGGGGGGGAGAAAGCCATAGAAAGATTCAATGAGAGCACGATGAAAGCAAAATCCTAGAGTTAAGTAAGTGCTGAGGTTGCAAGGCACCCGAAGATAGAGAAGCAATGTAAAGCAGTGCTGTTTTGTAAAGTGCAATTCTTTTGACAGCTGGTGACATTTGAGGAAATAACCCAAAGTCTATTGGCTTCAAATCAAACACTATCGCTTTGGTTTTCTATTTAGTATTTTACCCAACGCTGAAGCACCATTCCACATACTTATTAAGTTTATTAAGCATTAAGATATCCTCCTTTTGATTAAAGTGAGGGACAGGGGACAGACTGTACACTAGGTTTGTAAGGTTAGAGTGTCATGTCATATCATAGTGAAGAGGTCAAGGATGAAAACAAACATCACCACTGGAAACAGTGCTTGTCACTTCAGACAGATTAACAAGGGCTGCGCAATAAAGAATACTTCATACGGAGTCAGCACAAATTTTAAACCCCAATGTATGCAGTGTCCTAATCTTTGCATAAGGAAAGCAGAAGGCTTTAGGCTTTAGGTGTGAGCTGACAGTAATTCAGACTCCAGAGAACCCAGACAGATGCCCTGCAAAAGGGCTTCTTCCAAAAGCATGAAAGAAAGAGGGCATGCTATCAATGCTACCATCACCAGTCCAAGATATGTCCAATCTGACAGCAGCATATCTGAAAGATTATACCAGATCTTCACAGCTGACAACGGCGTTCAGCCATACAGACTCTGCACCAAATCCAGAACTGACAACATTTACAGATCGGATAGTTCAATACACTCAGTCTAAAGATGCACACCGTGATGGAAAACCGTAACTTCGGGTGAACTACATCGAGACAAACGTCAAAGGGGATGAAAGCTACCAGCAGAAATAAGGAAGGATACTGGGATGTACATGGCAGCTGCACACATGGCACTGTGCCGACTGAAATAATTGAATTTTAAGCTGCCAAATACTTTTCATCAAAACCCTGCCTTCACATGGTATTATTCTCTCTTCCTCGGTATTTTCTAGCTGGATAGTATTTTCCATTCTCTATGAACTATTTTCAAGGTACCATTTAGATGTTGCTGGTTCACAATGTTCACAATAACTGGCAAGGGTGAACAAGTCTGAGGAACATCTTCCCTGCAAAACAGTATGCATCACTTCTTTGTCAGGCCTGATGAAAGCACTGTATTCGGTAAAAGCTAGGTAACTTTTTCCAGCAATATCTGTTGATCTAGTAGAAGACACCAGCAAGCCCTATGAATTTGGCTTCCTGCATTTCAGAAGCCTTATGCAAAATCCTTTCAATTATTTCGGATTTAAATATTAACAGATTTTCCCATCAGCCTGCAAGAACAATTCAAAACTATGTGAACTCTAATATTTAGAACTTAGTATGAAAAAGCATAACTACAGATAATAGAGTAGGAAATCCCATTCAGCTACTAGCAAGTGCACTTCTATCTGGCAGGTAATAGGTAGCTGTTTACATGAATTTTCAAAATCAACTGCCTAGAAAATTTGGAGCAAAAGTTGTTAGGGACTGGAAAGCAAAAGGTTTTTAATTCTCCAAGCCTGCTGCAGGGCAGGGACTGAAAGGCACCAACTACCTCAGGACTGCAAGCCCAGGGGGAGGCAAGGGGAAGCAGGCTTTAAACACAAATACAGCTGTGGAGTTCCAAGTACCTTAACGAAGAACGTCCTGAAAGTTACTGAATTATGGCATGGAAAAAGTTGCAGTTGTGACTGCAGTGAGGTGGACACACGAAAACGGTCTCATTTTTCAAAGGTGCCAGGACATTCTGGGTTTACAAACGAACGAAGCGTACAGTGTCTGTGTGCAGGAGGGGGTACATCAATAACAAAACAAAAAAGCCAAGGAACATATAGGGAGTCCATTACAAAAAACACCACTGCTCTCTATAGTTTAAAATCTGCTTTCCAGCGACTCAGCCTGGCAAACTTCCAAAAAGCCCTTTTCCACTTGTACGGCCGTGATTTCAGGAATCATTAAACAAGAAGTGAATAAAAATACGGATAGCTTCAATAAAACTGTGTAAAATCAAACAGCACAACCAAGAAATCTTTTGCAGATTTTCAGTTTTTTTCAGGGCCAAGAAAGTTTTATCAACTGCCTTTAACCCAAAAGTGAAATATCAGATATGTTTATGTACTCAAATATCAGCATATAAAAGTGCAAAATACAGAAGCCGTATGAATTAAACTAACAAAAGCTCAATACTAGAAAAGTAGAATTACAGCTTCTGCGTTTAAGTCCTTTATATTCAGCTACTTAGCAAATGCAGCTTTCCCTTCTTTATATGAATTGTTAATACCGCCAACAATTCTGTAACTTCTGAGCAAAAATCAGTGCATTTCCAACATAAATCTTTAAAAATTTCCCATATGATATATTATGTTCACTTTCACAATTGACCAAACTTCACAAATTCTCCGTGTGACAGTGAACTCCCCGATCCAGATGCGAGCAAAGAAAGGATTAATAAAGTTCTATGTAAGGATAGATGCTTCAAAGTAACAAAGTAACACAGAAATAATGTAAAATTGGACCCCAAACATCTCTGAGGAATATGCAAATGGTTAATTCCCAATTCAGTACCTAGACAGACATTAAACAGCCCATTCTGTCACACCATCTGCTAAACAGCTAGCAACGCTGCTCTGTTCTCTATGTTATTTGTGCTTGCTTTCTTTTTTTTATTTTTAAGCATGGAGCCATTCAACTTATTTGGAAGTCAGATAAAAGACATGGTGGTGAATTTTAAAAAAAAAAAAAAGGAATCAAAGTGATACACAGCAAAAAAAACAACTACAAAAATAAAGTTTCAGATCACTGCTAAAGAGAATTAAAAAGTTACTTCTAAATGCTTGCTTCAATTGCACTCCAAACAAGTTTATGCTCAGCATATACAGCAAGTCATGAAAGCTTAAGCTTTGTTTTCAACATCTTTTATTTAACAGAATACTTAAAACATTGGGCAAAAAAATGTTAGTCTACATTATGGAAAAGACATTGTGGGAATTATTCCTATGTGTGTGTGTACACATGCGTGCTTATATGCATCTATGGAATCATAAAGTGGCCTATTAAAATATCACCTCAGACTATCATCTTAATCACAAGCCAAACGCCAATATAAAATCTTACCCGTACTACTGGACGGCAAGAAAGAAACATGCAGAGAACGCAAAAGTTTCAGTCTACATCATGTACAAAACACAGTATGAAAATCGCCAAGTTGCCCTCTTGGATCTATACCACATCCACAAAGCGCAAGAGAGCACTGTGTGGATTTAACTGCTCCAGAAGCAGTCTGGAGTCATAGAAAGAGCACAACACAGGCCAACTTATGTTGTGAGGTCACTATGGTGAAGAAAAGAAAGAGCTGTGCTAACTTTTATTAATATTATTTAAAATCTTATTCAAAAATACCACTACGCCTGAATATTTACTCTTAAAAGCCCTCAAAAACTAATTATTTGGAATAAGGTAAAACAAGACTGAGAAAATTTTGTGTTATTAAAAAAGCCAATGAAGGTGACTTAAACAGGAACTTTTTTTTTTAAGGAAAAATGCTAAGGCTAGTTCAAATGCCAAGTTGGAAATTTATTTGTCTTACTTTCAGAATATCTTGAGTTTCATTCCACTTGTTTGTCCACTCTTTCGTCAGTTCTTGTACCTATAAAAGAAAACAAATACTGGAAAAAAATCACAGCTCTTCTAAGGTCCTTGATAATGCATTCAAGAGATGCACTAAATATTTATGCAATTCTTTGTGAAGTTTAATACTTGAAAGTTTAGAAGAGCACTGCTGCTCCTACAATAAGTGGCCATACCTACGGTATCTCTCTCAAAAAGGAAAATGACAAAATTCTTCTTTATAGTATAAAATGAAACAAGGGACAAGGATAGTCACTTCAAATAATAGCAGGCATTTTCAAAGAAATGGAATAATTCCATAAAGTGTTTCATCAGTCCGACAACGACTACTGCCACAGATTGATCCCTTAGCTGTAACAAGACAACAGCTCCTTTCCTACAGGACAGGCAGGCATGTTCAGGCTAAAAACCCTCCAGAGGACAGCATGCAGAGGAAGAAGCAGACAGACAGCCTTCAGGATAGAATCGGAGCAAAGTTTGCTGCAACTTGGCAATCACACACTTAGTTGAAATCAGCACAGAAGTGAGAAGCTGCCTGCAAAGGCATTACAGACAGGGAGAGCATTGCATACAGAACCAGAAGCACAAAATCATTTAGGTACAGCTATGTCCCTTCATTACTTTACATATACAGCCACTGAAGGGGAAAAAAAAAAATAAATAAATAAAGGTCTTCAATACAGCTCCTCCAAATATCTCCACATTTGCCACCTGCAGCCTACTTTCCTAGTTGTCTTTGCAGATCAGATGTAAATTAATCAATAAGAACTAAAGAAACTTCTCTCATCTCTACCTGTATCTCAAGATTTCAACAAAGCACCCTTTTCAATGCATTATTATCATTCCTAGTGCTGCTAATTGGAATGTTAAAACAAAAGAATAATTGAAAAGATTAAAGAAAAACATGAAGAAGGTCTACCATAAGTCTATTCACCATACCAGAAAAATTTTTATGTCTCAGAAATAACTCAAAAATTGTTCTTATATAAGGACAAATCAACTCATTACAGAAAGCCACCATATATTTGTCAGATAACTTAAACATGGTGATAAAGTCTTTAGATCTGTATAAACAAATTAATTATTGCACTCATTCAATTATTAAAAAAAACTATAACCACTGCAATATCTACTAAGAGTTTTCAGTAATTATGCCTATTGCAATTATCATGAATAGTAATCATATAACCTTCTAATGAGGTTGGCAAAAGATAATAAAATACGCTTGACACACTCCCCACACAGAGGGGCCAACATTTCTGGGCAGGACAAGCAACGATTACTGTCAGAGCGTGAATAACATACTGTAATTAGCATATAGTCAGCAGTTCATATTACTCAGCTACTCTTACATAAAAGCTTTTCATTTGTGCATAAAAATAAAAGCATACTACACATACTAACAGTATTATCATTCATCTCTGATTCAGCTAAAAACCTTTTTAAAACCTGGTATGAATATGAAAAAAAATAATTTGCAACTGAAGGCTCATACTTTGGTCCTGCAGGTCCTACTTTAATTATTGAATACGACACAGTAAGGATTCCTGCCTATACTACAGAGTCGTACAATGCATTCCTAGCAGAAACTTGGCTTACGGAGAAGCCTGGAGTCTACTTCGCAGCTATGGTTCATACTAATACACGTATTTCATTCATTTTTGTCATGAAGTTTATTTTTAAGGTATCATTTCACTGAAATGTATTTCAACATGTCTTTAAAATTGGTAGTACCAATGAGAATCCTGAAAAGCACAGACAGATATCATACTAATTACTTAGGTCAAAACAGGATTCTCAAAGCAATGCATTCATTCTGTAATTGTAAAGGTCTAAGCAGCACCAGGGTAAACCTTACAATTTAAACCGGCTAAGAAGTCCCTATTTTTTAAAGGTATCATATCTACATTTGATTGGCATCTTGTTGACAATATTCAGAACTATTTGCTGTCATGCAGCTGAATGATTCCAAATACTTTCCTCTATTCTCTTCCAAAGTCTGTGTAATACTATTTTTTAAAATGGCTTGCAATAGCTTTAAAAGCAGGCGAGTATATAGAAAAGAATTAACATAGAATGACTGAATAAAGAATGAAAGATTGCAAATTAGAGAAATAAGAGTACCATTATATCTATGTTCTTTTGGACCCTATGAGTACATCTAAACTGTCTGGGAAATTTTCCAGACATCCCAGCCTCTACATTGGGTTGGATTATTAAAACAAGTTGGTGTGAGGCACACTATGAAGTACGCCTAGATCTTAGACTCTCCCCAAAAAAGACAGCTAAATAGGCACTGAACATATTTGTACATACCAGATTTCAAGACTGAAATTTTCTGAAAAACCACCACACAAGTTACTGATTACTTGAGAACATGAAAGAGTTGACCATTTTCCCCATAAATCTTTTACTGTATTTTCTACATACTCAATGCTTTGTTACTGTGATTACTGGTTACTGATTACTCTGATTTAGTGGCTTTTCCCTCTCTATTCTATTTACAAATATACGGTTTTAGTAAGGCAAGCTGGCCTGAGAACAAATATTTTCATTAAATAGAACTGTTATATAAATATCAAAGATACACTTCGTTATAATGTTACCCGATTAATGTAGGGTAACAGAACTACAAGTTCACATACAGTTTTTAAACAAAAGAAAAGGAATGGGAAGGGTCTGGATACAAGAGTGTTGGTAGGTTTCAGGATATTTTTTTGATATACAACTAAATTTTCTCCCAAACAGCATTGTCTTGGTGCTTAAAAAAAAAAAACAAACCCACCACACACAAACAAAAAGAAAACAACAAAAAAAACTCCCACTGTTTTATGAAATTATAACTCACTCTTGCTTCATTCTGCTGAAGCTTTTCTTCCATACTTAAAGCTGTTGGAGAATCCAAGAGTGCGATCTAAAATTTTTAAAAGTAAACATTGTCATGTTAAAAAACCAGAAAGACTAAAAGTAACAATTTCTGGTGGAATCAAATGAAAGAAATGAAATTGTTCAACTTTTCTGATTATATAGAATTAAGTATTCTAAACGCCAATACACACCATTTTACCTTGACACACTGTAAACAGAGTAATCAAAATCACATCAAAGTAGATATTTCAAAAACAAATCATTGGTTTGAGTGTGCTATTTTCATTCACTATATATACATGGTCACACACATGCAGACACTGAAACTGGACATAAGTTTATAATGGGTAATTACTGATACATCTATCTTTATACTTCTGTTAAACATGAACATTTATTATGCATCAATAGTTAACCATTTTGCTATAATACATATATATATTTATTAAAGCTAAGCAATATATATTAAGGTAACCGGCCTTAGAAAAGGAAAACTACTACACAACACGCAAACACACAAGTAATACCCATTGTTATGTGACTTTCTACACTGAATCCAGCACTATATTTTGGGAAACCATATCTTCAGTGATCTACAGAAGCATTTGCAATACAGTATTCTGGGAATATAAAGGAAAACCACAAAAGAAATTATACAGAGATTTATATTCTACTGTGCATACATAACACCACCTGCTGTTTTACCAACCGTCACAAATTCAATTAACTCAAGCAAGTTCTCTATTGTCTCCCACACAGCCATCTATCACATCCTACAACTGAACCAGATTTATTTTGTGATATCTACTGTTTCATAGCTTGGAACTAGGTCAAAGCATTAGATCTTCAAAGGGGTCCAAGTTACACTTACTTTGCTAACTCTAAATCAAATCGTACTTCAGAAATAAATTAATTTCCCCCTCCTAAAGAATATGGGAGAAACACAAGAATAATACAGTAGTTCAACGCCATAAAGCATTTTCTAATTGTTTGTAAGTAGAGCGCTCTGCTTCAGTCACCTACAATACCTATTACTGATTCCAACTGTGGTCTCATCCCCTTTTTCAGCAAATGTTTTATAGCATGAAGTCTAGCTGAAGCACTAACCTTCAATTAAAAAAAGTCTATGCTGAACTGACATTTCACATTGCACAGCCCATCTAAAATAAAATTAGACAGTTCTAGAAATAAATCTGAAGTATCATTCAGATACTTCCTGTAATTGTATTTGCTCAAATACGAAATCTAGCAGTCCCAAGTGACACTATTTAGAACAGAGGACTGGCCTGAGCCAATTGCACATTCCTTATTGTCAGCTTGGTTTCACCATCCTGGAAACAGAGAAGAAATTAAGCCTAACTAAGCTTCTGCAGCAAATGTTTATAGTGGCTAATCCTGACAGAAGAACAAGGAAGAGAACAAGTGTCATGCTATACTTCCCTTTTGCACTATTCTTACACCACCACTGAAAATACTTTTAAACACTCAGCACGTTATATGCTTTGTAATGTACTGTGCAGCCAAACATAAATAAAATATATTGTTCAAACCTGTTCGTACAACTACATTTTTATTTTTACACATCTTTAATACTTCATACCTTCTACTTCTTTTAAGATACTAGATAAAGCACCCTTCAGTCCACCTGCCTAGACCCAGAAAATACGTTCCTGCTCAGTCTCCTTATGCTGTGATGACTACCCGTTTCACAGCACACTGCAATCAAGCTCTGATTATATTAAGAGAAAGCTAAAAGCTTTGAGATGACAATTTTTCCCCCCTTATGTTAAAAGAGGTAATCTGCTGCCCATATGGAAACTGATTCAATCAGGAAAATAATATTCATTCATAGCCTCATAGAGCTTGTTTACTCAAATCAATATAATGAAAGGTAATTATCTCATTACATTCTAGAAATAGATGTTATAACTCAAGGAAAATTACACATAAATTTCAAGTAAAGCTAACCTGATTCCCTTGAGCAAGCAGGGCTTTTAATCGGGCTATTTCAGCTCTCAGCTCACGGATCAGTTTGACGTTAGGATCCTCATTAATAGTAGGCTTGTTGATGATGTTTTTGGCTCTATTTGCATAGCGAAGTGTACTTAAAGTTTCTCCATAATTGACATCAGCAGGTGAAATAGCTACGGAGATGAAATCAGAAACAGTTTATCCAGCACCATATGTTTCATTTAGTAAAGTTAGTTCATATTTTAAAAGTCAGATAGACTTAATGTGGATGAAGAGACAGAAATATATGATTCACCAAGTATGGCTACAATTTGCTCCAATTCTTCACCTAGCTCCACTGCTTTCATGTGACTAGAACTTGGCTTAAGTAAACACTGCATTAGAACAGTGTATTAGAATAATCGGGTCCAACAATCAAGCTTTGTAAAGGAAACTTGCTGTCAATCTACTTAACATTTACATTTCTCTGGTAAGCATAAATGTCCTGTATGGATACTCTACAGGCTTTCTTGCAAATTTTTTACAAGAACAGTGGGAAAAAATAGTGACTACTTTGTAACTATCAATTAATCACTGAATGCAAAAGTCATTTCAGGTAAAACCACAGTAGGTTCAGTCCAAGTTTTGAAGTGAATTCAGCATTCAAACAAAAAGCAGACATGAAAACCTAAACCAGGGAAGCGCTTCTATAATTTACAAACCTCGCTGTTCTGTTGAGCTGCAGGCATCTGGCAGCACACAGAACTGTTACCTATCTGATCCATCAAGAGAAACCGGTATTACTTTTACAGGCAATTTAACCAGGAAAAACAGTAGAGTTTAAGTGAAAGCGCTAATGCTATCCTTCACTTAATTTTCCTAACAATATACAAGATCTTCCTGATGAAAAAGATAATTACTGCATCCAAATAGATGAGCAAAAACACAGAAGAGAACACCATGCAGAAATTATGAGGGACCGGAAATCTTAATAATCAAACTGAACAAGAGACCCAGAGAAGCAGTCAATGAAGACACCTGAAAAATTAATCAACCAACCAAAATATTCTACCCTTCCTCATTCTCTCAACAGTAGTAAGTATTCTTTCTGTGGTAGAGACTCCCTGAATCAGGGGAGATGCACTTGGCAACAGACTATACTTGCCCTAGCTCACAGTATCACTTCCCTACTCTATCTACTGTCTCCTCTCCATTATTCAATTATTCTCTTTCTGGAAGAATGTTACAATACGTTATAGAAATATGACAAATCAGAATTGGACGTATTTTTATAAGAGCCTTTCGTACAGTTTGAGATTATCTTCCTGCTTTTTTTTTTGTGTTAAGTTACAGAAAAGGCAGGCCAAACATATCTGGACAGCTTGTCAGGCTCTGTTAAGCAATTCAGCCATATTGCCAGTAGAGTGACTGTTGGAGACAAGATCAACCATCAGGCATTGTTAATAGATGAGGAAGTAGCTGAAAAAGCAGCTGGGCACTGTAATCATCAGTATGGGCACTGAAAGCTCACCGTGTTTCTAAAACTTCCCTTCCCATCCCTCTGTCAAAAAACAAACAAACAAACAAAAAAAACCAAACCCACACAAACCAAAAAACCCCACACCACCACAAGTTACTCAACCATGTAACTGAAAGAAAGCATCAGGAAGAAAGATGCCAGCACAGTGTTACTTAAACATCCAGAAAAACAAAGCAGTGTTTGGTCCAATATGCTCTTTTGGTACTACTACGATTAGCTTGAAGAAAAAAGTGGCATGGATTCCAAAACATCCCCAAAATCATGCAACAAAAGAAATGCTATCCAGACAATTTGACTGTAACAAAGCGATTGAAGAACCAGAATTTGATCCAACGCGTTTTATTCCCTCGATTCTGCTCTCCCACCATTCCCAAGAGAGGACTGCATCAGTTAGACTGCATTTCATTAGAGCAGGAGAGAGAGAGGGGAATTTCAGAGCTACTCTTCTCTTCACACCTTCTGTCTGCAACATCTAAAATCCTCCGCTTCCTTTAAACAACCTCCCGGCTTCGCTTGGGTTTTTTGGGAATGGAATTCCCATTCCAATTTGTTGAAAAAGCTGCAATACATATGCCATAGGAAGGTTTTTAAACCAAGTGATCCTTACAGAGCTTCCTACAGGTAAAAAGGAAGCCATAAGAGAAGTTTGCAAGATGACTGATCACAAATAATTAAATTCAGACAAAAAGTTAAGATGCTGTCTGCATTCAAAAAGTAGGTGAAATAAAAATGACAGTCTTACCCACTGAACAACAAAAGATACCAGGTTGTTTCTGCTACAACAGAAACCCCAGTTTTAGAAAAGCAAACTGATATACACATCAGTATGGACTAGATGCACAAAGCTGGAATTTTTTTTCTTTTACTGGGGATCGAAGTCTGCAATGTGGGGAGGAGAGGGGTAAGGACAGAGAAGTCTAGGTCTAGGTTTGAACGTTGTGAGTAACAAAGCTGTCTGGAATACAAATGAACCTCAAGAATAAACGGGAAATATTACATGAAGTTTAACCAGTCAGATTAGCTAATCATTACGCTGTGCATATGTCAAAGAAACACAGTAATGAGGTAGGTGTCAGAGCAAATGCAAGCAATTAGGCACATACATTTGTATGACCCTTCCTTACACAAACAAACGTCTAACGACTGTATATACACAATCTGGATGCCTTGTTACATTTGTGAACAAACACTCAGCCAGTGATACACGCACCCAAATAGATAATCTGCAGATGAAACCAAAGCTCTCAAATTCGAGAGGCACACCTGCTGTTGTTTGTGACATTACTGAACCACGAGACTGTCCCCATCTACTCAATGAGGCCCTACATAGTTCTACTGCTGGAAGAGATGTTCTGCAGAGTGTAGGTAAAGGCAGAGTGTTACTAAAAAAGCTGAGAAAGAAAGAAATCATTAATGCGTGTAAACAACATTCTCCCTTAACAAAGCATTTGGAATCTAAATATTTACAGCCACTCCTATTAGGCATGAACTGTTCAAGATGCAAAAAAGTAATTTAAAAACACTTACTGGCAATCATTATAGTTTTAGAGTTTCCTCCTAGGCTATCTTTTAACAGCCAAGTCAACACAGAATCCCTGTAAGGCACAAATACTTGTTTCTTCTTTGAAAGAGGGTTTGTTGCATCCTGAGATAAATCAGCTGTGATGTGGAGGTAGAAAGAAAAAAAATAGCAATCATCTATTTTCATTCATTTTCAAAAACAGTATGCATTAGGCCACTATTTGTGTAAGTAAAAATGAACAGAAGTGTAAGTAAACAAACAGAAAGGTATTTAATGACTAAAGAAAACCCAAAACAGACAAGCACATAAAACAGAGACTTACCTAAGGCAGAAATTACATTTCCCAGAGTAACTAGAGATTTGTTAATATTCCCTCCTTCCTTTAATCTAACCCCTGTGGCACCGGTGGCATCTGCTCTCTCACTTCCAGCAAGATCTACCAAATGAATCTTGCTAACAGTTTCACAAGGCATTTCAGAATCAAATTTAGCCTATAGAAAAAAAAAAGAAACACACACCAAAGAAAAGTACGTTAAGCTACAAAATTCTGAAATTTTACTGAATCCAACTTAGTGGGTTTTTTCGTGTCATGATTGAATTTAACTTGTTCACAATAGCAGAGCTGCAGAAGACAGCTGTATTAGAGCTGCCACAGAAAGGCATTTGACCATGAATTGCTGTATAACTCCTATGCAGGTAGTTACTTCTTTAAATTGTAATATTTGCAACTTTCAAGCCACTTACCTTTTCACAGTTGTCAGTGCATGTCCGTATTTACATGATGCACAGTGAACATGTGCTGCATTCATTTTATTAAGCTTTCAACATTTACATTACAGCCACTTACGGACGTGCACTGACAACTGTGAAAAGGTATTTACATGATGCACAGTGAACATGTGCTGCATTCATTTTATTAAGCTTTCAACATTTACATTACATTCAGCTTTCACAAGTTATAGCATACACAGACACATTTACACTGAATTTCTCCCCCTGCCTCCAAGTTCAAGTAAATAGCAATTGCAATTTTATTTTATGATTTTAGACGAGGCTTCCTCCCATTTTTATCTTAATTCATATAAATCAACTCAGACTACCCTGTTTCAAGCTTCCTCCTACTTTTACAGTACAAGAGAAGAACAAAACTTTTGGCTGCCTGCCTCTCATCCTCTTCTGAAAGTTTTGCAATGAGCAATTCATCATTACTGAACAGTTGGCGCATGGGATTTTGTGTGCGTGTATGTGTATGTGCGTGGTTTTGGGGGGATACATGCAAAGATTTGTCACGAGAGTGAACCACGTCTACGCTACCTTCTCTTCATCTAGCAGGTTATCCGTGGACTGTCTAAAAAGCCCCCCAAAAACAATGATGAAGAGCAGGAGTCATTAGAAAAGGACTTTACTACATATAAACAAAAAGATCACCGTGCTCTGAGAGAACGTGTTAAATCTCTCAATTATTCCATCAGTAAATCAAGGAATATAAATAGGTTTCCAATGGTAGCAGATGAAGAGTCGGCAAAAAAACACGCAGAAAACATTTCTACACTCTATGATTTGGGCCATAAGACAGGTTTTTTTCATAAACCTTCGATAACATCAGAGCATAAAAGGTAGCCCACGTTCAGCTCCAGCTGAAGTCTCACACAACACGCTCCTCACCCACTCCTGTCACAGCAGCATCACGAAACACGCCAGCACCAGGCACTGTCATTCAGCCTCGGCTCCCAATAATTATCTCCTCAAAATCTATTAAATATCATTTTAAGTAATCACATTACACTGTAAATTTTAAATATTATAATCACTGCTAAACATAATTCTCAAAACAGTATTTTCACACTTTTAACTTTCCCCATCACAAGACAACAACATAGTCATTATCTACCCATACTTGCTTATTTGACAACCTCATTTTTTAATTATCATACGAATTATTGAATGTAAACACACATTAAGACAGTAGGTTTGGTTTTGTTACCTGAGTGAAGTTAATCGTGAAAATGGCGTGCGACCTGCTACTGACATCATTCATTCCTGTTGCAGCCGTCGTTCTATTTATATTTCCTGCGTCCATAAGTTCCTCTACATCAGCATAATTTTGCACTAAATGTTTAGACAAATCTAAAGAAAAACAGAGTGTTACTGTACGCTTATACATGCACTTGATTTTCTATACAAAGAGATTCAAATTACCCTCACTACTTCAAAGTATTGCTGCAATTAGTGTTCATTGTCACGCTTGTTTATCACTTAAGGAAAGGAATGAGGCCTCATGTGAACAATGAAGAACTTACACATTTACAGTAAATTAAGAAAAAAAAATATGCAATCTTACTAAAGTATTTGGTGCAATAACATAAGGATAATCTCTCAAGAGACATGAGCCTTCCCTGGCAGAGGACAGATTAAGACAATTAGATCCTAATAGGTTATTTCCATCTAAACATTAAAGATTTATAAATTATAGTCAACAAATTCTTAAAACCAATTGCATCTCTTAACATTATTTAAAAATGTGTTATAAATTTAGAGATAAAAACTGTTTACGTATAATAATCTTAAAATTGGGAAAGCAAGTGGGGATACAAAATGAGAGGCTATTCTCCTTTAATACTTCTATACAAAAGGAAAGCACTGTATCCATCCTCATTTATATTTTAAAAGATAAAACTGCCCTATGCAATTAGACATGACATTTTAGAATATATAAAGGTAATAAAATATCCAGCACAAAACAGTGAAAGTGTTTTTACCCTCAACATATGGCCCCTCTTTCGGATGTTCTCGTATTCGTAAATTATTAGTTTTCGATGACTTCCGTCTGAGAAGATCTCTCACACGTTCATTATAAATTTCCAGGTAACTGAAAGAAAAAGATTAGAAAAAACACTGACTGATTCAAGAGTCTTTAAAAAAAGGAAAAGCCATGTTAACACTGTGTTTGAATGCAAGATGCCTGGAGAAGCAAATGGATCCAAAGTTGGCTTAAGATAGTAATGACTACAACATACTTGTATCATAAGGAAAAAAAATCAAAAAAGCAAGAAGCAAGTAGAAAGGAAGCAGACATTAGCAAGATCAAGATCTCCTAATGTCAGGCTGAAATAAAGGGTAAAAATAAGGAAGATGCTGTCCAGTAGCAAAAGAATTTTCACTACCATTTAAATAAAGCAAAATGCACTGCTGTTGAAGTTCAAAGTACTGCACATTTTGCCTATAACTGCCAACAAAAATCAATTATAGAACTGAGGCCAAGCACGGAAAGTTATTTGAAAAACACACACTTTTGTCAGTGATAAAGTGAAACAGGGTAGTTGTAACTGAAACAAGTTTGATAACCAGCAACCTATTAAGATGCCAAGACCCACCTGACTTCCGTTCGAAAGGATGCCTCATTCCGCTTCGTTTTTTCACTTATTTTGCTGAATAATCCTTCACAAATTCGAGGTATTAAACCCGCATCACCCTGCAATAACAACAATTCTTACTTTCAAGGCTAAATATGTATGTATAATATATTTTGAAAAAGAAATCAAAGATCACTAGTTGAGAGTTCCAACATCCAGAAAGCGGGGGGGTGTCAAAACTTCTCAGCAAATACTCTCTTGCCCTTTATTTAACTGCAGTCACTTTAATCCTCACGTGTGCATTGGAACGTATATACTAGCTCCAATTCTTTGCTATTGGGATATATTTTGCCCCTCTCATTTAGTTCAAATAACCCCAACTGCTTAAGGCAGAAACCGGCTCCTCAGAGCAACATATGAACTGCCTTATCTCAACATCATCTTTTCTAACTTCTTCTGTCTCATTTCACTATGGACTTGGCAACATCTGCAGAGGATGGGACAAGAGTCCTACACATGCATTCGTGAGCCATTCTCATTCAAGCCCCCAAGCCCCAGCTCACAGTCCTCCCCATCTTGAAAGATGCAGCAGGTCCTCTGGATAAATCAGCACGCAATTAACGAAATTAAAACTACATTCACTGTGTCCCACAATGCAGCCAAATTAAATTTGATATTTAACTTCTGAATGCTCGACTCTGCAGTTAGAGAGTTTTTATGCATAAAGTGCTCAGTGGGTTTAATAAAGCAAGCTGAAAAAAACACATTCCATCTCACAGATCCCTGCAGACCGTGCGGTTTACTAGCAGGGCTGCAACTATCCATTACAGGGTCCTTGCCACTTCAGCTAACGCAGCACCCGGCAGCAGCAGGATGTCATCTTCTCGGTTAAGCTAGCACTTGAGAACTGAGCCTCATCCCAGTGCTCCACCAGTGATGTCAAACACGTGTCAGACAGCGAGGCAGCAGCTAACACCACTGAGCTACCCAGAGAATTAGCATGCTGCTCTCCTCTTCCCATTGCTCCAGGGAGACTCCTTTCCAGCCAAGCAGCGAAGCAGTAAGTCAAAGCCAGGGTTTTCCGCAGCAGCAGAGAGGAGCAGGAGAGTGCCATGCAGCTCTGGGCTCAGCTGGCAAGGGGCTGCTTGCTCCCAGTTGCCCCATTCCCACCGAGTCTGATTAGGCAGATGCCCAACTACCTGCCGAGCACATCTCCTCCCCACCACTTCAGGAAGACAGCCTCTAACACACACTCCTTTGGAGCCGAAATGAGTGAAGGTGGCTCCCAGGAATAAAGGAAGAGGACATATACATACAGATGAGCTTTGGGCTCAGGGCTGCAAACTTAGAAGTAGCTTACAAAACAGTCTGTCAGCTACAATTTGCCTCCAGTCTAAAAACACGCGAGAGATTTGATGCGATGGACTAATTCTAATTCTATGCACCGCTGAGGCAACAAATATTCTTGCTTAGAGTTAGGGGTCCTGTAATTAAGCAGGAGGCAAATTACGACAAACCAGACCAAACATCCAACGTAAGCATAGCCCGGGCACTCCAGGCCCTCAAGAGTTTGCCTGGTGGGATTCTACAGATACCTGGCAGCAGGAAAACACAAACACAATGGACTCCCCTGCACCAGACTCTGGCAGGGCAAGTGCTCCACGGGCAAAGATTTCTCTTCTATTCAGACCCCCACACAAAATCTGACCCTTTTTGCCCAAGCTCACTCCAGTCTGCTCCCACACTGGTCCTCTCTGTCCTCGTTCTTCAGCTTCTCCCTGCATTCTCTGTCCCAGCAATCTTCTTCTAGGGGACATCTAGGGGACATTCCTCTTTCCTTTGCCTGGATACAATTCATCATTCAGTTTCTTTTCCTTTTTTTTTAAAATCATACTCTAGCCCTCCAGTTTGCCCTTTTCCAGCTTCTTCCTCCTCTTAATGAGAGCCTCTCCATCCTTCACAAACCAGGCTTTGCTCTTTGAAGTAATAACATATTCTCTCCTCCTATCATACCTACCCCTTCACTTGACTGCACCTTGATTAAAAAAAAAAAAAATAACCCCTAGATAAAGGGAGAAACTTGTAGCTTAATCAGACTGTTTTTGAGACAGTTGCCTTTGTTAACAGAGAAGCAGCCTTTCTAAATATGTATCAATCTCTACCTCCAGACAAAGTTTCAGGGTTCGGTGTTGGAAATTCCTGCACACATTTTATTTTTTTTTCAAACACAGGAAGACTTTTCTTTCATCTCATGCTTGGAAGCACCTGAATAGTTTTAATTAAAGCTTAAGGAAAAAACATGAAAGATCCATCACAAAGTTTTAAGCAAGTCATGAGTGTCTGACACAATTTAGCAACTGCAAAGAGAGTCTTAAAATAGGAAATATTAGCTCTAATTGAGTAACCTCAACCATAGCAATATAGTGATGAGAAAGGAAGATTACATAGTTCCCAGCATATTTTATCAGTAAAATGTACATCTTGGAGAATGTACACGTCTTTATTAGAAATTACATTTACACATTTTCTCCCTTTTCATCTTCTAAAGCTCCAGGGCAAGATCAACTCCATCTTTGACAGTTTTTTTTCTGGCATACAGTTTCCAGTCTTGGAAATGTGTAGAACCAAAACAGGTAGTTCACTCCAGGGGTGAATCTTCTCATTAAAAGCCTGTTTTCCTTCTGTGCTACCTAACCAGAAAACTCCTTATTGCAATTTAAATGTAGTTTCTTATCCATCTACCTTGGAAATGGGGAACAAATTATTCCCTTCCTTTCCACAGCAGCCTTTCACATCTTTGAAGACTTTTGTTCCTCCACAGTCATCTCTGCATACACAAGCCTGACTTTCCTGACAGATCATATTTTATAGATCTCCAATCATTTCACTATCTCTGCTCAAGACTTATTCTAAGTGGTCCACATATTTCTTGAAATTATTGCGGCACACAATATTGCAGAAGAAGCCTTCCAGAGCCAAGAACAGCAAATATTGAAAGCAAAATGAGAACAGAATTCATACTTTTTAAGGGGAAATAGGGAAAAGAGAAAATTTATTTCCAATTCAAGTTTTCTTATAGCACTGTAGTGTCTCTGACAGGGCCATCAATTTTCAAGCCTTTAACTTGGCGCCTGAGTATATTTTATACATGCTCTGTACAAAGTCAGATTAAAGTATTTATGTATCATGGCAAGAAGATTAGACCTTTATTATTGAATAGTGTCAAACAAACCTCAGCACCTATTCATTTGCAAAATGTCTTGATGATTACGGTCATTACATATAGTGAGGCAGTCTCATAAAAATGTCACTTTTATAAATTTCTGAAACAGAAATCCGCATCTAGGTCATAAGATTTTTTTCTGGTTACAAAAGCCTATTCTGCTTACCATATTGAAGTTAAATATAAAGCTACTTATTCTATGACAACTGAAAGAAAAAGATTTACAGCTAATTTACTCTCCTAAACTAAAAGAGGTGCAAAGTGGCCAATCTCACTACATTTCAAGAGAGTGATCTATCTAGGGAAGGACAAGCAGCAATATTCCCCTTTTCACTTCTGCTGGAGAAGGTATGATGGGTTTTTTTCCCCCCAAGGATTAAACGAATGAAACCTATAGAGGCTGCTTGGTAAACATCAGTCGGCCCTTTTAAACTGCTCCACTCCCAACAGTTTAGTGGGGTCTTTCTGTCCTTGGACAGTCATGGAGGCAACTGCAAGAAACTACTCCTATCCTTTACTCACAAACTGCCAAACACTCCTCCTATTGCACTTTCCTCTTCCAGATTCTTCACTGCTGTGCTCAACAGGGCTTAATCATTAAACTTACTGTATCATTTCATAATGGTTTGCTGAAACTTAGATTTAGCTACTCCCATCCCCAGTTTCTACTCCTCACTTGATAGCCTTCTCTAAACTGGAGTCAAGGACCTATTTTAATCTTCTGACTCTTCAAAAGAGGTCTAAAAACCAGATCTCTTCAGAAAGAGTCGATCACTCGTTCTCAAAACCAGGATCTTCCTCTTTTGTCTCGAATTGGGAAGAGAAAATCAGTGGTAACATTTGAAATTTTTGGTTTTGTTACTGAACAAAAATTATTGCTTTTTGTCCAGTGTAACAGAACATCACTTAAAGACATTTCTTCTGACTGTAAATTTCTACCTACAAAAGAAACAGTTTCTAAAACCTCTGATTACTACTAGAAGGCATGATACATGGGGGGTCAGTAGCACACAGACAGGATCAGTAATAGTAATTCCATAAAAATACGCTCTTGCAATAGCATAATTTCAATGCACTGCTACAGAATAAAATAAAAACACCTGCTCGGTTGCTGTGGGGTGAGCGGTGGACATTGTCTACCTGTATTTCTCCAAGGCTTTCGATACAGTTTCCCACAGCCTCCTCCAAAAGAAGCTGATGCGTTATGGTCCAGACAAGTGGTCCGTGCGGTGGGTGGGGAACTGAGGGGCCGTACCTAGAGGGTGCTGGTAAATGGCTCCTTTTCAAACTGGCAACCAGTCGTTAAGTGGGGTCACCCAGGGATCGATATTAGGCCCAAAGCTGTTTAGTATCTTCACAAGTGATCTGGATGATGGGATCAAGCATACCCTGATGAAGTCTGCCGATGATACCAAACTCAGCAGGCAAGCAGACACTTAGGAAGGGAGAGTCATCCTGCAGGGAGACCTGGACAGGCTGGAAGAGTGGGCTAACAAGAACCTTATGAAGTTCAACGAAGACAAACATAAGGTCCTGCACCCAGAAAAACATAACCCAGGAGTGCAGCACAGCCTGGGATCTATCTGGTGGGGGAGAAGCTCTGTGGAAAGGGACCTGGGCGTCCTTGTGGACACCAAGCTCAATAGGAGTGAACAGTGAGCTGCTGCAGCAAAGCAAGCCATCAGGATGCTGGGTTGCATCAACAAGTGCATCATCAGCAGAGAGATAGTAGTCATTATCCCACTCCACTCACTGCTTGTCAGGCCACACCTGGAATACTGACTGTGTTTAGTTTTGGTCCCCATTACAGAAAAAAAAGATGTGGACAGGTTGGAGGGGGTCCAGAGAAGGGCCACAGAGACGATCAAAGGACTGGGAAGCCTGCCATATGAGGAAAGGTTAAGAGAACTGGGTTTGCTCAGCCTTCAGAAAAGGCGGCTTAGGGGAGACCTTATCACCACGTTCCAGTATTTAAAGAGTGGCTACAAAGAAGATGTAGACCCTTTTTACAAGGGGTCACATGGAAAAGACGAGAGATTATGTGTACAAGTTATTCCTGAGGAGATTCCAATTGGACACAAGGGGACAATTTTTCACAATGAGAACAATCAGCCATCGGAATAATCTCCCCAGGGAAGTAGTGGATTCCCCAACACTGGACACTTTCAGGGTTCAGCTTGACAGGGTGCTGGGTCATCTTGTCTAGACTGTGTTTTTGCCAAGAAAGGTTGGAACAGATGATCCTTGAGGACCTTCCAACCTGGTATTGTATGATTCTATGAAAATACAACATACCGCATTTCCCATCATGGTGTAGGACTTCCCAGATCCAGTCTGTCCATATGCAAAAACACAAGCATTATAACCTTCAAAAGCAGATTTAAGCACATCCGTACCAAGATTTTTGAAAACCTAAAAACAAAGAAAGATTTTTAAGACAACAGAAGCTTGGGGAAAAGGTTGTTATCAGTCCAGTACGGCAAATATTAAACAATAAACTACCACAATATAAGCTATTGGCATCAACCAGTAATATTTACTACAAGACAGGAAATTAGTACTTCAAATGAAACAGTAAATTTTACTACCATATTTAATTTACAGCACTGCAACAGTATATTTTCTACTTCTTTCTCCATCAGAGACCTACTTGACATGTAGAAGAACAAGAAACGCTACCTTCTTTCTACAGCTCCAATTTCTTTCAGCAATCTCAGATACTTCACTCACATTTCCTTATTGTTAATATGTACTCACTTCTTGTATCTTTGCCAGCTCTCTGTGTTCTGCAAATATCCAGCCCCTTCTCAAAAGGAAATGGTTTCAGTGATCCTGTCAGTTTCTTGGTTTGAGTTTTTGGAGGGTTTTGTTTGGTTTGGTTTGGTTTTTTGCTTTAACCAAGTGCAAGAAAATGGCCCATTATTTTCTCCGTATTTCCTCCCTAACTGGCTTTTACATACTAATACTTTTTAGGCTGGCAAACACGGAAACATGTTTTCTATATGGTAAGTGACCCTCATTCATCTGCTCGCCCCTTCTCTTTTTCCCTCAACATTTACAAACTAGTAACAATCCCTCCTCCACATCCCACAATACGGGAGTCTGTTGTCACCTAATAACTTCAGCTCTCACCAGATGCCTTCACCACCTTCCTCTGCAATACTGGCTCCAGCATCCTTCCCAGATTTCTGACCTTTCATTATCATTACCCCTCATTTCCATCCATACCCCCACTGGCCCACTGGGCAACAAGTAACACTTGGGGCAGCATTTCTCTCAATGGAATAATAATCCATTTCTCCCAATCCAGACATTATTTTCAAAAAAAAAACCCAATCTGATAGATGCTTCACATAATTTGGCTACTAGTCCACAGTATATGCGGTTTAAATTAACCAAGGTGTACAAGTTATTATTAATAGCAAATGGCACACGCACAGTATAATTGTGCTACTCCTCCCTTGAAGGAGTGCTGAGTAACTTCTTTAATCATTAATGCTCAGTTCCAAGCATGCCTTTGGAATACTTAACTTGGCCTTCCCTTGAGCAAAGGAGTTACAATGCTGTAATCAGTTCTACTTCTCAAAGAGGAAGGGTATACAGATCAGCCCAAGCACAATTTTCCTTTCACTTGTCATTTGAAAAGTAGCATCTTAGTTGAATTCTCCCCACTGAGTAACTGCTCCTTTATTTCTTCCTCTCTTTTCCCTTTCTCTATGTCCAAGTTTTTACCTCACTGTCTGGACTAAGTCTTTACGCATTACTGTTTTGACTGCATTTTCCCACTTAAAAAGGTGTGCATACCTTGCAAAGTGATTTGAGGCAGTACACAGGACAGTTACAGTCCGTGTTGTCTGAATGCAGAAGGTTAGAAGAAAAGACATTGTTAGGATTGGACTTTGTCAGAACCAAACAGCTGGGACACTGGTTTGTCACAAAAGGGCCGTAAATATCAAAATTGTATTTGTTTCTCTTCCGGGAATACAAACTAAGTAGCTTGATGGTAAATTGCCGCTCCCACTCTAATTTTTGAATACTAAAGCATATTTTGCATCTACAAGGCATATTAATGGGGCATGTAGTATTAGACAGACTTCCATTTATTATTTTTCTGCCTTTCAAATGGAAAAATACAACAATCACAAAAAAAAGCACACTAGACAACCGCATTACCAACAATCAAGATCAATTTTAATCCATGGCAAGATGAATGTGAATGAAAGACGCCCTTTCTTCTATGCCACTGGTGCAGTAAACTGGAAATTCTGCAGCAACTTGATAAGAGCTGAACTACAAAGTCTTCCAATTAAATATGAAATAAGCAACACAAGCAAAACAATAGCTTGTGCAGCATTTGTTTAGAAATTGCACTCCCATGGTTTGAAAACTCCTGTTTCCAACGTGCTGCACACATTGTAATTAAAACAACACTTGACACAGGGACAACAATATTTTTGTGGCTGAGCAAGAGAAGTTAGCATTCTTGCCAGGAAGGATGGAAGAGGCAGCCTGGGGTTGTGGGACACACTGTAATAGCAGAATATTGAACATGGACATCTAAGCCATGTTTAGGATTTATTGTTCGCATCCTATTACTACAAACCATAAAGCTCACAGCTTTTAAAAAAATCATTGCTCAAGGCTGCTGCAGCGATCCCTAGGTAGGTATTTTAATTATTTTTTTTTTTCCCCCTATACATTCCTGGCATGCACAAGTTATACTGATATTGCCTCAACCTGGCCCACTCGGAAACACAGCCAAAATGGCACCTACAACGAAAAACTTAAAATAAGGAAAACTTCATTTATCACTTATACGTGGAAACTGCACATCAACTCAGGATACAATTTGGATATCCACTTATATTATGTCAAGTTTCCTTCACAAATAGCTGTTTTAACAAGAATTAACTTCATTATTTCACAGCACATTAGGATTCTGGAAAAAACCTGCATTGTAACAGCAACAGCCTAACATCACAATGGATTCTCTTCCTGACATCCTTCTAATGAGGTCTTGTCTAACATAGCTTCCCAGAAGTATCTAAAGTCAGGTAAAGAAACAGCTACCTAAAGGATCCAAGAATTAAATATCCATAAACCTAGCCCACAATCAGTGCTTAGGAAGAATTTCTAGAACTACTTTTATAGCACGTTTTGCAGCCTCCAAATATGCATTGATACATCATTAATACTGTTTTATGGAGACGTACTCATCTATGGAAGGACTGAGAATATGGTAATCAGTTATCACTGAAAATTATATGCACTTTCATGAAACTAAGTAATATTAAACTGAGACCCTAATCAATTTGTATGAGCAAACTTAAGGCAATCATTTGTTGCATCTGCAGACCCTCAACCAAAATCTCAAGCTTCAGTTAGAATTGGAGCAGAAAAATGCATGATCAAAGCTGCTTTAATTAAAATAAATAATAACTCTCTGCATGCTCATCTTCAAGCATTTGCTAAAGTTCTAGTAAAGCCATATGGCCTGAACCGCCTGCTTAAAAACACCCACTAGAAACTAGGGGTCCAGTCACTGCGCTCAAATACACTACTGCTTGAATTTGCCACAGTGCTCAAGTAATTAAGGTATTTCTAATATCAACACCCAAATAAATGAATACTTCTTGATATTTCAGAAGATATAGCAAAAACTGTGTTATTAAAAGAACATCATAAAGAAGTAAAAATCCAGAAAGTTTAAGAATAGACATGATCAAATACTAGTAACTCAGTGAAATAAAAAAGAAGCTTTCAGAAAAAAAAGAGGACCTACCACTTACACTGATGGTTAAATAGAAATTTCAAGTATAAATTCCCTATCAAACAATTATAGTCATTATATATAATGGCAAAGTTGTCTTTGTCATAAATATTTAAAACTGGTTTCAACTTATTGTGGCTTATTATTAGTTTTAATTCTCAGGCTTTTTAGGATTAGCCATACCAGTATTCCCAATTTTAGGGGTTACAGAACAGATGAGGTACATACCAAAACGGTATTTATCCAACTGGTTTACAGTATATTTGGCAAACACATTATTTTAAGGGGAAAGAAATACTCTCAGCATCCCAAGTTCCACAAAACCAAAAGAGAAGACAGCAATCACAAAACACTTGAATTTTACTTAATTAATTCATTTGGGAATGTGAAATAGCAAAAAGGTTTAATGTTCACATGAAATGCAACATCAAGGAGGGTCTATCTGTTCATCCAAATAACGCCTATAGCTCCAAGTTTGATTTTCTGTTCCACATGTGCAGGGAGAAAGGCAGTTTTGTCCTTTCCTAAGCTGAATAATCAAGGGAGGAGAAAGAATAATCTTCTTCAATGTGTACCAAGACTTTTGGACAAAAAACAAAACAAACCAAACAAAACCCCACACTTCAACCAGATAAGAATGTTTCTAAGTGAATTATATGCTTGTTTCTCAAAAGTGATTTTTTCCAAAAAAGCTTTTCAAAACCAAATTTAGTGCTCAGAGAAGTTTTCTAACTTGACTTTACAAGACAAATCAGACAAGAGAACTACAAAGGCGGCATTTAGCCTGTTGTATTAGAAAACACAGCACTTAATGTTAGATAAGTTAAAAAGAAACAAAATTGAAATTGAGGTACCTAGGGAATTTCTGAATTACACAAGAATCACTTTCAATGGAAAAAAGTTTCAAAGAATGCTTTCAAGCCAAAGAAAACAAAAAGGAAAAAATCAATTATTAACACTCAGAAATCCTACCATTTCTTGACAAACAAAGCTGGGACTTTTACTGTCTGCTGAGAAATAGGAAAAATCATAGGTAAATGTCTTAGTTCTTTCTCGTCCTGTGTCTCCAGTACTACCCTCTGGTACCTATTTTGGAAAAAAAAAAAGCTAGTACAATACATCCTGATGAAGTAATTAAAAACATTTTACAATAAATAATCCCAATGCAAATTTAACATAAGACTATCTACACATTTAGAAATTTATAATGATAGGTTAGCTTGTTATTCCAACAACAGCAAAAAAATTAGCTACAGATATACCCCTTCAGCAAGAAGAACAGTCACATTACAAGATAGCACAGCTGGAAGTATTTGGATTTTAGTTTACTGCTCCTAACACCACACTAGATTTTTGTCACAATATTTACATCCAGTTAAATCAGTCCTGTATATGAAATTCAGATTATTATAGGGGATTATTCTAGAAATAAAATTAATAGGAGCCAGAGAGATCTTTGCACTGTGAACAGCATTTCAATGTGGAGTCATAATTAAAATGGTGTTACATACCTGCTGCTTAAAGCTATCATCATGCTCAAGACATGACAGTTAGCACTATACTTCAGCAATTTTCAATGCTACCTGAATCAATCCCAATAAACTACACACTGAAATTCCCTTTCATGTATTTGTCATCGGAAACTATCTTGCAAAAACCTATTTGCTGTGCATGATTTCTCTTGCTGAGAGAAATGTTAAAATATACCATCAAAGTATTACAGCAAGCGATGGGTACTTTGGCTTTAGTTCATTTTCATGAGAATTCCAGAATACTACTTCTACACATGAAGCAAAGGTTCAATATCTACCAGGCACATACCTCTCTTCTATTGTTGACTTCTATCTTCCAGCTAAGTAATGACCAGAGTGATAAACCTTAGAAAAACCTATGAGATACAGCCTATAGAGTGGTCTTCAGAAAACCGTGGTGCAGCAAGTTAACAGTTTAACAGTTAATCCTGTTTCCCCAAAGGATTACTTCAACACTGTATTTTAAAAACTAAGGGCTGTTCTCCACAGTGCAGAGAGCATCACTGTTTTGTCCAGTCCTACTTTGGCACCTATTCCGTTAGGACTTCCTTTTTAAAATTGTGTTTACTCACCTTTAAATTTGTGATTGTCGTTTTATTTTTTTCCATTGAAATAATAAACTTTGCATTAAGGTCTTTCTCCCTGAAAAAAAGAAAAAACGAGACTTGAGTATGTAAAATAAAACATATCACAATCATCCACAGTCATATTTCCATTCAACAGGTTGCTTACCACAGTCAATTATCAAGTGAATTCATACTGATTTCATTTTTTAATTATTGTGACTAATGTTTATTTATTGCTATGCGATGTACTTGAGGTACTTGGGCTTGCCTTCAAACCCCTTCATCTAGAAACAGGGAAACCTGCTTTAGAAGTTTGACTCTGCAAGTCAATTAAGTGGTTTGTTCTTAATTTGAAGTACTCTGATCCAAAGCCCAGGGAAGTCAATTATGTGGCTCTAAGGAGCTGCGAAACCGAACGGCACAAGACAAGCCCCAGTCTCTTCCCACTACCCTAGTAGCAGCAGTTCCCAGTTACCCATATAGCCTAGGTAACAGGGACTAAATACTTAAACCACAAAACCCCGGTATTTTAAAGCATCCTCAGAAATGAGGTACCTGACATTTTTTGAGCTGTGATGCATCATGGCAGTGCAGGAGAGAGGCTCTGCTACCAAGGGAGCGTTACACAGGTTTGCTGCTTCCCAGAGCACAACGATTCCAGGAAGAAAAAAAGCCCAGCTCTGCAGCAGTGTTTTCATGCACCCGCATCTATTTCACGTCATTTGTTTCTGACTGTTTTCAAAACTGTCATAAAAAATCATTAGCTTCGTGTCTAAACTCAGCATGTATCAGTCTACTTGCTAGAGATGGGATTTCAATACAGTTAGTCATAAGGGTAATACAGGCTGCTCCTGAATGACAACCTTGAGCACAACATCTTCGTGTTACTAAAGACATGCACATGAAAAAAAGAAGAGGACGACTGCTATACACACCACACAAAACCTCGCTCCCCAGATGCTAACAGACACGCCTGTTCCAAAACCATCTGCTAAGTCACCTGGCAAACTGGTGTGCCCTACTGGTGCACAGGAAAGCAGAGGGCTTTAAAGCAATAAAGTGCTGCTTTACCACATTGCGCGGTATCTCAGCGATAACTGGATAGCCGCTTGCACCAACCAAAAATTAAAAAGAGAAACGTCTTCCGAGGAACAGGAGACCCGAGTTCAGGATTTTACAGTGACATTTTCTTCCTCGTGGTGTACCGGATCACCCAGCTCTCCGTTCCTCAGCTGACTGTGTAGCTACCCTCTATACACATTCAGTTTTCCAGTAAACATTCTAAAGAAAGGCAAAACCCATTTTAAAATATCAATACATTTATTTTCTAAGCTATTAAAATATATAATAGTAATAATTACAGTATTAATTATACAACTGAATTTAGATCTACCATACAAAAATGTCAGAGGCACACCTCAAGAGACGCCTCTTAGTCATTTCTATGTCATCCTTAACAGCTTTTAGGTCTCCCCTTAAGAGAGCAAAATGCTAAAATACTACTAAATAATAATTCTAAAATTGCGGGTGATAAACAGGGAAAAGGAGACGTTTCCAATGGTATTTTTTAGTAGGAAACAGATTTTGGCATTGCAGCAATGCTGCCTGTGGATGGCTACCATTCATCCTGCTTCCTCAACAGTCTCTACCTGTCTGTAACTGCTCAGGGAAGGTGTAAGAAGTAATGCGGTCAATTAAATGGTCTATCTTATTATGAAAAACTGTTTCAAATATAATCTGTAACCTGCTTCCTCTAGGAAGTTTGGAAGGACTCTAGGCAGGAAGAAGTTTGGGCCAGAATTACCTGAGAGAAGTGAAAAAAATTAACGAGAATCAAATGCTAAAGCTTCATTTTAATATGAGACAGCCGAGTATAATTTATTGTACCCATAAAGAGTTTGAGAGGATCCCATAAAAAACAATTGCTTGCATGATGCCAGTTATATCCAGGCACTCAAAAAAAAATCAGCAGGGGCTGAGTCCCTTTCAAAAAGTTTTGATGGCAAGTTCCACCTTAATTAAAGTTTCAGGCTGTAAAGAGCTATCTTGCAGTGTTGGGTACCCTTCTGAGAACCTTCAGGGCTAGGAGAAGCCCCTGGCAACCAGCTGCTCCTCCAGCACCCATAGGAACCACTAGCCCTACCTCAGCCACTAACCAACGCCTCTGCCCCTGCAAATTCCAGCCCCCCTCATCTCAAAGCAACCTAAAGGGGCCGGCTGCCAAAACTAGTTCACAATTAACGCTCTGATGTTTAAGAAAGCTTACTTCTCCCCAGGCCCAATCTGCCCACAGAGCAGTGTTCAGGGCCAGCAGCCAGGCTGTTCCGTGCGCCACGTGGACTTCCAGGATCACAAGGGAAGGGAACTCAGCACCCGTGATCCCATGGCCCCTAACCAAACTACAAAGGGATCAAGCAGGCAAGTTTCTTGGCACAGACACCAGGAAACACATCAGCCCAGTGCTGTTATTAATCCTCTACTGTTGCTAAATTCAGCCAGTCATCTAGCAAATAATTGCAGGGAGGACGTGAGAAAAAAACAAACAAAAAAAAGGAACAAAAAAATCAGAAAAACTACTGCAACTACTACTGACACTTTATTTTAGTATCAACAGCATCAATATTAGTACCAAGATACGCTTAAAAGAACTAGTATACTTGTCTTGTAATGAGATAACTTGACAAATGGCTTACTTTCTCTTCATCACAAGGGGTACGTGGGCTATGAAGAACTGCCCCAAACTCAAGATGATTCAGCAGCTGTATCAAAACACAGCAGCTTCACAGCAGAAGCTCCACCGTAGATATCTCTGTGTCAAGTTTCTTTCTCTCCTTCTCTTATAATCCCTGTTCATTTTCAGGGCAAACACCAGAGCAGTTTTTGCACCTCCATGGGCATCCAGTTGAAATCATAGCACAGGCAGCCAAATGTTAGCAGTATCTCCAGATTTCAAGGCAATTTCCAATGACTCCTGATCATTATGTCACCTATCCACTCCACCACAAGACTTTCTGAAGATCCTCCCACAGAAAGAAGGGAGAAGAGCAGGGAAAAGCACTGTTATCTCAAATATAAATCAAGAAGGGAAGCTTTAGAAAAATCCCTGTTACAGGCATGCAAAACGTGTTTGGTCTTTTTCCAAGTCCATCTTTAAGTTTCTTCCTTTAAGGTCCTTCAATGGCAGGTTCAATTATTTAAATAGTGACTTTTTATTAATCCATTCTGTGTTATTCAAACACTAGAGCATTTATTATAGCTTATCCCCCTAGAAAATCATGATATTATGCTTTCCATTAAATTGATACTATGGGAATCAGTTGTGACGACCATAACACCTGTCAGACGTGACTCTGAGAACTGAAAGACGACGACATGTTTCATCTGGGGGGTGGGAGGGGAAAACCAAAAAGGACAGCACAGAAAGTGCAATCAGTTTTCCCAAATAGCGTTCCAAGAGACCACTTCAGCAGACCTCCAAGGCTGCACAGACATGGACACAGGCACGACCTGAACTGCCCGAGGAGCACCTCTGCCTCAAAGTAGAAATAGGGTCTGTAAAATACACTCTTGGAAATTCACTTAACTGTAGACATCTAATGGAACGTCTACTGGAAAAGGATTATACCGAAGAGCAGATGCGCAATTTTGTTTTTCAACTCTTCAAAAACATAGTCTGAGCACTTGTAAAAGCAACTCAACCATGCTCAATGGCTTTTCTCTTCAGCAAAGTGCCTGCTACTTATTACGTTCACATTTCAGGCACAATGTTCCGCATTTCCTGGTTTATCACTCTGCTTGTATTTCTGGGGTCACAAAGTGAAAGCATGAGGGTTGCTTAATGACCAGGAGAATTCAAGGTAGATTTAACTGAAAAACAAGCACAAAGCGTGCCACAGAAAGAACGTGACACTTTCTTATAGCTTGGGAACCTACTAACTGTACATTTGCCCTGATGTCCTACTGAGTAACGCAGACCAAGAGCACTTTCCTTTGTCTGAGGAACTCTTAAAAGGGGAACATTCGATTCAACCGCATGCTTTAAAAAGTCAAACAAAAACTCTCCTGCACAAGAAATTCTTTGTTACTTTCTGTAACTACAGGAAAAGTGAAGTTGCAATCTGAAATATCACACAATTTCTCTTTCCTATCCAGATGTTTTTGTTTGGTTTTGTGGTTTTGGTTTGTTTTCTAACTTCTCCAATGCTTATCAAATAATTTTGTAGAAAGTACTTTTTTAAAATGTGATCCCATATCTAGGTGCAGTTAAGAACAGAAATCTGGTGGTCTGTATGTAAAACATCTTCACTACCCTTTGGGTTAAAGTAATTTTTTCCATAAAAATCAGGAACAATTAGTTTCTAATTAATGTTGGCTGAGACCTAAAATCAGAACAAGTCAAGCAATCTGATTTAATCACAAGATTCTGGGAATCCACTGTGGCTTGAGTCACTGGTACTACATGATTACACTGTATAAAAATCACAGTTATCTCCATAGCAGGGCAATAGCCCAGCATACGCTGAGCTCAGTGACCCCATCCTCTTGACTGATACAGCTACAAGCCCATAATCCAACGACTCAAGCCACGTTTACACCAATATAGTCTAAAAGTTAACAACTACACACCATACGTCAAGCAGCACAACTGCAATCAGATGTCCTTCGGACACGGTTGGAGAGAAGGCTCCCAGGTGGATCCTCGGAGAGCTGCCAAGGGCTGCAGCCTCCCCCTCATTCGGGAGGGCTCTGCAGACTCTTTTACAGCCACCCGTTTTCTCGGAACAACACATCCTCATCATCTCCGAGGCCTCTACCAAGCTGTCAAGTCTGGCTGACATGGGCCAACAGATTCAAAACCTGCCAGATGAGACCGGACTGGCTGGCAGACAGGCTGTTCCATCTCTCAAGTTTCACCTCAAGAAGCCAGACAAGAAAACAGCACAAAAAAATCCTGGGGACTGAAGTTAAAAGAATGAGCTTTCTATGGATACGACTGCGATTGTTTCTCACTACAAGAAAGAAACTGTGCACATACTTCGTACTTTAAGAGAGCTTTGTCGTAAGGC